GGGAAAGATGGTTGACTTAAAGTTTTCTCACTTTGACTTTTGATGAACATATCATTAGAATTCAATGGTGCAATACTTGTTTTAAATCCTCAATTTGGCTATAGTAATCCAAGGAGCTTGAGATTACCTAGACTTTTCTTAATTGTTGAAATGGCTAGAGAAGCTCATAACAATTTCCTTAGTCAAAGTCACTAATTCCAAATAGCATGTAATTAGTGAAAGTCAACTAGCATTAAGAACCAAAAAGTCACCAAATCCAAGAGGGGTCAAATGCTTTCACCACCATGTTGGAGGAAATATTTTTATGATTGTGTGAAGCAAAAACAACACAAAAATCCTTTGTTGCTTGCTAATTTGAAGATCATTTACTTAATCAAGAAATTAGCCAACTAATCACCACAAACACATTTAAACTCATGTACTAAAACATACAAGTAATGATAACATGTTAAAACACAAAACATTCCCATAAAGATTCAAGAACATGTTCATGGATTCTTCAACATTCAATAAAAGTTCAAAGGATTAACCAAAAGTCAACCAAGATTAGCTTAGCCAAGCATGGCTAAACCCAAAGAAACAAAGTTAGAGAAAATTGTACCAAACATTAAGCAAGAATCAAGAGGTAAAAATATGATGTTCTTCAAGGGTTCTTGGCCTTCAAAAGTCTTCAAAACTCCAGAGAGAATCTCCAAAAATCGGATGTCCAAGAGTATGCAAAAGATGGGCACCAACCTTCCTCAAATAGCTCAAAAGAAGAATTTCCGAAATTGCCCCTGCAGGAGGTTGCGCGACCCGCGTGCTCTTGCGCGGGTGGGTTGCGCGGGTGGTCCCTGGATGTAGCATCTTTGAGGTTTTGGGCCTCCATAGCTTAGCCCACTTGGCCCAGGTCGAATCCAATCACCTCCTAGCCCATTTTCTTCAAGTTTTTCTTCATTTTAAGCCCAATTTGACCTCTCCAAATACTCCAAAGCTCGTGAATTCGCCCGATTAATAATTTAAGTACGCTTGAATATTCCCCCGCATCTTGCAAATTTAAAGTTTATTTCTCTCCAAGTCTTCAAATAATCATCAAGATCACTCCATGCATCATCGCCACTACCCATCAAGCCCAACATCATTTTTGTCTACCAAATCTCATCGCCTCCTATATGTCCCGAACACTCCCGCTCCGCTAGACCCGAAAACCTGCAATTATGCTCACAAGATTCGAGAGTACCCGAAATAGTCATAAAATAACAAAAAGGAAAATATGCATGGAAATTATCTAAATTATGAATGAAATATGTTAAAATAAACTATAAAAAGAAGTAATTAAAATGAAGCTATCAAATCACCCCAAACTTAAACCTTACTTGTCCTCAAGTAAGACAAGACTAAATGAACTTGGGATGAACTACCCTAGAAATAAAAAGAATGGATAGAACCATGGAACCTGTTCGACGTTAGTCAACATGGTCAGAATTGATTTCGCTGCTATCTCACAACTTTTTCATCCGATGACAATGGAACCATAAACCACAGCCAGGACAACTCCTTTAGGTGAGTAAGGAGGGATGAGCAGTCACAGCCTCAATGGAACATGTATACAATGAAGAACATCTGTAGTAGGGAGAAAGCAACTGGATGGGCTCGGGTGGAGCTCTTTTTTAAGTGTACACTCTGATCTCACATTTTCCGGTTTCTCTCATGTGTAACTAGATTTAATCGCTCGGGCACCGTTGTAGGAATCGATTAACTTGGTGTTGGCCCAAACCCCCCGTAGTATCCGACTCGACAGTCTTCCTAACATCACCAATTTGCGAAAAACAACTCGATCTATATACAATAAAACATACCTAAATAAATGAATATCAAACGCCGGGTGACCAAGATGTTGGGAAATTTGTTCAATAATTGAACCGGTCACCCTTCTCAGATTTCTGCAGCTGGGAATTTGTCTGCACACCATTTATTTTTATTTATTTATTATTATTATTATTTTTTTTAATATATATATATATATATATATATATATATATATATATATTAAGATGTTACCATACTTGAAGGTAATGTAATAACAACCATTTGACTCAACATTTGGTTCCTAAAGTGTGTAAGTGGAACTGAAAGGGTAGTAATATAATCCGAATGGTCTAAGCGAGAAAATGACCATGTGTGGAGCATAAAGATATAATGTAAGCTCCTCTTCCAATTTGTGAATTTTTTTTTCCTAAAATAACGAAATTGTCCTCATGCGGACTAAAAGACTTCTCTAAAATCCTAAGAAAATCGCAAAAAGATATGGTGATGTAAAAAGACTGGATATGGATTCTACTCGGGGACAAGCACTAGTGCTTCATCCTAACGGTTCAAACATGATCAAGTGTGATCCTCTCGGCAGTAGTGACTTCAAGGCTAAGACATCCATTGCTATAGTATATCCTACAGACATTAGTATTGTATGCATAATTCTTCATGAAAACTACCTGTCCATGATCACTTACCCCTTTAAGCTACAGACATTAGTATTGTATGCATAGTTCAAACCACGTTATGCGGTACGGGTTGATGCGGGCGGCTTGTGCGGTTTATCTGCAATTAGATGAGTTGCTACTTTTTAAAACTTTTGAAAAACTAAAAAACCTTTTGATCTTTTGAGATATAAAACTAGAAACTAAAAATGTTTAAAAAAAAAAACTAAAAAACAACTTGCTTTCAGTAATATGTTTGTTAATTAATTCCTATTGTATGACTATATTCACTAATTTAAAGCTAATTAACATATCCATTTTTATCCATATCAACATTCTAAGTGTTACGAACTTTTAATCAGACAATTATTATTATTTTATTAATCCTAGTGATGAAACAGTACAATATATATATATATATATATATATATATATATATATATATATATATATATATATATATATATATATATGCGATGCGGTTAAACCGCAACATTTTAATTGAAAAACCGCACCGCACCGCAAAAATTCTAAACCGTATTATGCGGTAGGGATGAGCAAAAACCGAATCGAAAACCGAAAAACCGAAAAAAAACCGACATAACCGAAACCGAAAAACCAAAACCAAAGCCATAACCGACGGTTTCGGTTTGAATTTTACAAAAACCGAAAAATAACGGTTTGGTTCGGTTTTGACGTATAAAATCGTCCATAAAAACCGAACCGATCAACATATATATTATTTATATTATGATTTAAACTCTTAGTTTTAGACTTTAGACTTTATCTCTTTAATACTTTATGTTTATTTTCAACAAACTGTTAATGGTGTTAAACTTTAATCTTTTGAACACTTTTATGCTTTTATAATACTAGAATTCGTACTATTTATTTTAGTATATTTAAAGTAGATACAATACTATTTATCGCAACATATTTTCACTAGGTTTGAACCCAAAAATTATTTTAAAAAAAGGAGCTCATAAACCCATGGTTTAAAACCGAAAACCCATAAACCCAACCCGGAAAACCGAAAAACCGACCCATGCAAAATCCGAACCTATATGGTTTTAAAAACCGAAAAACCGACTTTCTACGGTTTGGTTTGGTTTTAGCTAAAAACCGACCCAAACCAACCCATGTTCATCCCTATTATGCGGTGCGGACGGTTTATGCGGTTTGGTGCACACCCCTGCATAGTAGAGGTGAGTATAAATTTTAATTTGAATATATGAATATTATAAATTTCCACAAATAAAAAGATCATATCCAAAATAGATTCAATAAAATACAAGCATTTGTTATGTGTTTGTGGGGTACCGCGGCAATTGAGTGGTATCCTCTCAATTCTAAATTCTCTACTTAACTAGTAGTTTTGTATTTTGTTGGATTTTTATGTGTTTTTTTATATGGGAAATTGCCATAAAAAATGTAAGGATTGATAAATAACTAAATGTGAGAATTGATATCGAAATGTATATATACAATTTATTCACATTGATTTATTAGGATCGAGGGAGTGGTGTATTTGAAAGCGCATTCTTTCCTATGCCACGTAAACGCCAACTTTTTTTTTTATTTTTTATTTTATTTCATCAATTTGAAACCGCAATTAGGAAGTGAGAAAATGGTTAAGAGAGATAAAATAAAAGAAAAAAGAAATAAAGATGATTGGTTGAGAGAGAGCAAGTAAAAGAGGGGAAAGAGAAGTACACCCTTGGAGGGCCTCAGTGCGGCAGAGACCACACTTAAACCACACCCAGGGGATGGTTTGCATGATGATGTGGTAGGAGGGAGTGCTCCCTAGACCGCACAACTCCCTCTGGTCTTAGAAATTGTGAATTCGTCAAGCACACTGACATACTTTTGTCTTACACGAAGCTGAATTGGAATACAGGTTGGGTATCGGATCATCGGTTATTATTTTAAGGAAAAACTCATTTTACCCGAAAGGAACAATCTGAAATCCGAAATCTATACCCAACCAGACACCTCTAGTGCGGACCATCACTTGGCTCCTTTGCGTATGGCATCGGTGTGTGAGTGGATTGCAAAAGTTGAGACGACACAACTAGCAACATAAATAAACCTTGATATATAAATGAACCCAATAAGGCAATAACTTAAACCATAACAAATTCTGCTGCAGAACTCGAAGATGTCTCCGTGGATCTTATTAGGCACCATCGTCTTCAAGATAACGTGTAGCAAATGCCCATGGTCTAACCAGTTTTACCACTCCAATGAGATACTGTTTCAATGGATGCGTTATTGTTGCAAAAACAGATGTTAATGAATAGCTAAATCGAAAACAAATACACTTTTGGAATGAATACAATCTAAAAGGAGAAAACTTTTGGATTCGAGTTGTGGGTTTAAAGAAATGCAATTGGTAAAGAATAAATGTTTTAGATACGAAATAATGCACAAATTTGGCCAAAATTCATACGTTTAATTTCAATACGAGCTCTTACATGACAAAGCTGAAACATTTTTCAGTCAACTCTCTTTACAAGGAGTAAAATAAAACCCTAAACCCAAAATCTATGAACTGGTAAATTTTGTTACAGCCTTCGTCCCCTCAGAAACAGCATGCTTTGCCAACTCTCCGGGCAACACCAACCTCACAGCCGTCTGAATTTCTCTGGAGGTGATCGTCGGCTTCTTGTTGTACCTTGCAAGTTTCGAAGATTCCTGAGCAAGCTTCTCGAAGATGTCATTGATGAACGAGTTCATGATCCCCATGGCCTTGCTTGAGATACCGATGTCAGGGTGAACCTGCTTCAAAACCTTGAAGATGTAGATCTTGTATGTCTCCACGTTCTTCTTGCTCCTCTTCTTCTTCTTATCGGTGGCACCGGCGCCGGCTTCCTTGGGAAGCTTCTTCCCAGCCTTTGGCTTTTTCTCGGCAGGGGATTTTTCAGCCGCGGCGGTTTTCTTCTCCTCCGCCGGCTTCTTCTCGGCTAGCTTCTTCTCTGCTGCTTTAGGCGCCATTGAAGGGACTTTAGTTTTTGTAGAGAGGGAATTTGATTTTTAAAGAAAGAGAGAGATAGATGATTGTTGTATGAAAAGATGAAAATGAAAGAAAAATTAGTTGCGTTTATATCAAGATTGCGAGGCGTTGTCTGATTGGTTGATTTTAGATGTCCCGGATTGTGCATAGAGACCTTTGATATGTTCTGGTCCATGGTTTGGCTTCAACGGATGTGATTTAATTTGAGACGTGAGTTTTTGTTGGCTTGACGCACGACGCGGATCAACATTTTGGCCCATGTATTTGTAAAACTAAAGTATCCTATTTTTCTTTAATTTTTTTTTAGGAAATTACAACATATATTTCTTTATACTGTATTATAAAATAATTTTGTTTTTTTAAATATATATTTAATATGATAATAATATAATAATCTTTAACCTAAAAATATAATAAACTTTTAATTAAATAATATTAAATTTTAAGTTGTCCAAACTTATTAATTGAAAATATAGTTAACAAGTTGAATCCTAAAATATCTGCAAATATCTTTATATTCTGACCACCTTCATTTATATTTGACATATTTCTGATGAACTTCTTCATCGTGCTGTATCGCTACACATATTTTTAACCACCTTTCTCCATGCAATCTGATACAAAGCAATGGATAGATGTTTGCTACCGGTTCTCCCCTAATATATATGCCTCGGTAACAAGATTTCCTCGATTGCTTTTGATTTGCATGTTAAATCCAATTTTCCTCTTGACAACGAGCCAATATCATCTCCTAGGAGCGGCTCGTATATCCTTGTGTCCATATCAAAGTCAATAACAATGTATAAATATTTGTAGTGTGACGGTTAGGCAAGTAGGCTAGTATTGTCTTTTGCTTGTTGATTGATTGATGGTGTGATACGTTAATATATTATGTTTAAAGGAGTTGTTGGTGAATCGAAACTAGAGGCAAGGTTAGACATGCACTAGAGTCGTTAACCGTTGGTGTTTAGCGTTGGACATGCACTAAATTCGTTAACTACTATAAGTTGTCGTTATGATTAGATGTGCACCAGATCCATTAGTCACTGTTTATTCAGGTGGATATGGACCAAAGTCGAGATCCTTGTTTGTATTTATTTACGTGTATTGTTGTATGGTGTATTTTATAGATCTCAGTAAGTTTATACTTACAGTTATGGATTAAATGTTTTTTATGTAGTTTTGTTGATTGTGAAAGGGCATAACTTAACTGTATTGCATATACATTAATGGTATTTTACATGGGTGGAGCCAAGATTTAAGAATAAAGGTGAATGAAAGTCTCATATTGCAATAATATATTAAAATATAATCTTATTCCCAAATAAATTAATTGAAAGTCGTTATCCGGTAATGGCGCAAAAAACTTTATGTGAATATTTAATGCACTGGTTGAGAAACTAAGAGAACATACACTATATTATACAAGAGTACATACTATACACTAGTACATATAGAACATACAATACACTAGAACATTCAATACACTAGACCATACTATACAAACACTAAAATACTATAACATTAATGTGAGGCACTACTTAATGGAATAACAATCTATTGTTGTGTCACGTTTTGTAATCACAGTCTCATGGAGGGAGAGCGTAAATTTATGTATAGATCTATACGGGATTGACCGTCCTACACCTTGCTGCTAGCTAAGTGGGACCTGCAGGTCTACAGGTGAGAAATGTCATACTATTATCTATTTCCTCACAACCATAACCATGAGAGAATATTGATTTACACCAAGAATGTGGATTTTTAGATATAAGTCAGTCATAGCTAGATTGAGTTATGTGCTTGATTTTATCCATTGCAGCTATAAATTCCCCCTCAACAATACTTTTGGCACCTTTCCAAAATAAGTTATTCAGTTATAATCCATTGCGTCTCTTTTTGATGTTTGTAAACATGTGTGTGACACATTGTTTGTGGTGAATATGTTGATGTAAACCATGAAATATAAAAGGACATTTAGATTATAAATGTATAATAGTTGCATTAAGGATACACTATTATTTATCTTATGTTGGTCTGAAATAGTAAAGAGAATCCTAAAACCACCAACATCTAAATCAACAACTAAAAGCTTAGTAACCAAGGCCAATTGTCTATGTTCTGGACATTAACCACTCTTTATGCTATTGGATATACATGATTGCTTGAATCTCTTAAAATAGTAGTCAAAAGCTTTGTTTTGGTTTGTCCCTTTAGCAAACACCCATCCAAACATATCACACATTTACTAACCTTATTAAATTTGTCCCTAAAATCCTTCAAACACACGTAAAACCTTTTGATATAGTTCATACCACTTGTATTAACTTTTACTCCAATCTTGCAAGTGCTCTTTGGGCAACTTAAGGGTTAATGTAGTATAATTGTATACCCTTGCATAGTGTTCCTTTAAGCTACATTCTATCATCTCTCTTGCCTTACTCATATCCCTATAAATTTTCCCGCTTATATACTTGTACATAAAACCTCTTAAGTGCATCTTTATTCATCAATTAAGTGTCCTATTAGGCTACCTAATTATATCATTCAGTTAACCAGTTACAACTAACCAAACATCAAAACTTATAACTCACATAAATGTATCTCACATATGGATTTAATCATAAATGAATGTTCATTATAACTCCAAGCAACATATTGTCACACCCCCGAAACAGACGGCGGAAACGTCCGAGGGCTATCGTGACTCGATTGAATACCATCACATTGCATATACATGAAACATAACATTATACATCACCAACATTTGGAATGATACAACTGGTAGCGTTTACATCCATTACATTGTTCCCAAAACATGACATTCTCAAAAATAACTGTTTGATACTAAATTAAACCACAGCAAAACGTCATAGAGTACAATTCATCCTCCACTTTATCTGTTACCTGAGAATACAAGTATTTTGAAAAACGTCAACATATGAAATGTTGGTGAGTTCATAAGTAATGTTTGAAATCCAATGTTTGTAATGTTTTGAGAAACACCAGAAAATCCGATATTTTCTGAAAATAGTAAAGTAAAAAATGTGTGAAGATCCATAGGTATGCTTGTTTGTTTCTATACTTGTAAAATTTGTTCATTTAAAATTTGTGTGTATTCCGAATCCGTATGTATTGAAATACCCTAGGAAAACCCGATGTTTTCCTAATTCGTACATTGAAACAATTGCAACGTGTGAAGTTGTCGGTACCAGGCGACGTTGGATTATTGTTGAGCATGATTATTTGCTACAAACACACGTTACACAAACGACTAGTCTATAGCGATACTAACGATCCCGAAGGCGTCGTCCGTACTAACCACGTTCTCCAACCGCCCTGACTACATGTAGTCCCACACCCGAAGAGAACGAGGACACGAAGGCCTCAATAACTCCATTAGCCGGTTGGGGATAAAAGGTACGAGGGGTCCCAGACCCGCCTCGCATGAAAAGGTAGACTTTACTAGCAATACCAAAGGACCCTTGGGGACCAGTAGTATACAAGCCATTGAAAGTCCTTTTACGTTATGTCGGATCGGTGAAACCCAACACTTCGTAAGAGAGAGGTCTTCGGGCCTTAAGATCAGGTCATTGGGCTAGCTAGGCTCAACGAACAAGATTTTACACTTTTGGGGCCCAAAGGTGGTGCGTAGACGTCTGTGCACACTCGCATGTATAGTGACTTCCCAATCGTTATCGTAATGTCGTAATGTCATAGTATTGTCGTGTTAGTAATTTCGGATTTTTATTGGTTCGAGACCGAACCAATTCATTTGACAACGACTTTTGGTGTTGTAATGTATTGTATTTCGTCGATAATTGTGGTATCATCATTGGATCAATTTGCATGTATTGAACTAGTCTTGAGAATTTTCTGTTTTCAGCCCCTCATTATTTGTAAAAATTTACTTTTTCAACCATTTATTTAAAAACTTTTCGGTTTGGTCCTTAAATCAATTTTCTTGACATTTTAATACCAAAAATTATTGAAATAAGTATTTTCCAGCATATTTTTCATAGAAAACAGCTTAAGTCCCTGAATTTCAGTTTTTCTCGGCTATAACCCTTCTTTTTCGAAAGTTTGACAATTTTGGCCCAAATTGAATTTTTTTTGCAACTTTAGTCCCTTTTAAATTTAAAAAGCATTTTAAACCTTTGAAAAGGACTTAGAACACTTATAGTCCACTGTTTTACAGGAAAATGCAGTTTTGACCCTCCAAAACAGAAAATCTCGCATAATGGGCCTCATTAGGCCTAAAATGTCATTTTTAGCCCATTAAGCTTGAAGTTTATGTTTTTAATCCTCTAAATAAGTATATTTCCAGAAATTTCTTTATTGAAACTTTTTGACATAGTTCAACCATCAAAGTTCGTGATTTGTCAATTTAGGCCCTTAAAGTTTGTATTTTTCGCATTTTAGGTCCAAAAATGGTGTTTTTAGCTCAAAGAAATTGTTACTAAACCATATAACCATTTTTCTAGAAATACTTTGTATGTAGAAGCATAATTGATGCTAGAGTCTTTTAACTAGAGGTATATCTCGGTTTTGAGGGGTTTTATGACTATATCCAACATTATAACACACAAAAATCACACATATAAGCATGGAATCATACCAAGCATACAAAATACATATAGATCTACACTTTCACTTGTATCCCCCCCCCAAAAAAAAAACTCATGAAAACCGAAAATATGGGGTATGAAGCTCACCTTGTTTGAAGCTTTCGGTTTTTGAAGAGAATATGGAAGAAAGTTTGGTGATTTTCGGCCTTAGCACCCCTTGATGAAGATCTCGGCCTTGAGGTGTTTCTAAGGTACAAGATCATGATTTCTCATGAGTTAAGAAGAGATATTTGATAGCTCAAGGAAACTCGATCATAGAATTAAGTATAACCTTACCTTGGATGGTGATTTTTGTGAAAAATCCCTTGGAATACACTTGAATCTCGAAATTTTTTGGAGAGGGAGGAAAGAGT